CAACTAGAAGAGACTGAAGAATCAGTGTTTTGTAACTGAGTAAATGTTGAGTTTGGCTTTCGTAATGAACATTATTGTTAAGTATTAACGGAAAACTGACAATGTACAGGTGGAAATAAGATTTGTTTGAAGGATGAGATTATGCAATTCAGTCACTTGAAATGCAGCATCCTCAGATGTTGTTCAAGATTTCACATTCTGAAGTTGTTAAATGGATTTTAGAAAAATTGGATCTTTTTTAAAAAAAAAGTCTGACCACCTTGATAGAAGTAAAATCTCCTTTTTTAAGAAGGGGAAGGCAAGATACTATACGTGCTGGAAATCTCATTCTAACATATTCTATTTATTTTGATTTCAGCACACCAGACAGTTACAAACTGTCAAATTTCCAGCGTGGGTAACATTTTGCCTTGAGAGTCGGGGCAGTAATCAACCTGAGATAGGTGGAAGGTTGGAATGATGAAATGAACAACAGAATCATTAGCAATCCCCCTGCTGATTGAATATCCCGAAGCAGCAGTTATGATTTGTAATACTTGAACTTCAATATCTAACTGGGAAGGCTGTCACATAGGAAATTGTAAGATGTGGTACCATTCCTAAAGCTCCGACTGAACTTTGTAATAAAGAGGACAAAGAGAGTGAGGCTGGAGTAGGGCAGAGAATTAAGATGAGGGGTGATCAGCAACTCGGGCTGCCAGTTGTGATCAAGTTGTTGGTGTCCAGTAAAGCTTGGCCGCCTCTAAACTAGAGGAAACTGCATGGTGAACAATCAGTACAGTATATTGAATAACCAGACCCAGTATATCTCTGTTTTACCAGGAGTTTTTTTTAGGCATGCCAGTATGATGGGAAGTGCTAAAAAGTTATGTCTTATCTCCTGTGCTTGTATGGGGAAGAGTGCATGGTGGGGGTAAAGATGTAGAACTATTTTCAGCTCAGTTTTCACTGTTTTCTAATGCAGAGATTAGATGTCTGTGTCATGTGTCTGAAAATATCAAATGAGATATTGCCAAAGTGAGGCACCAAACGATCGCTACTCTTAGTTAGATATGTCCCTGCTCCATGTATCTCAAAAACAAAAGTTTGTCCACTGATTTGCTGTTGCAAGTGTGAGCTGGTAACAGCATAAAAAGAGAATCAGGATGTTTAGGAGCGGAGAATACTGGAATCTAAATGGGTATCTCTTAATGCATGGCTTTAACTTGTTACTGTTGTATATATGCGTATTGTACAGTAAGCTCCAGTGAGGGCAGAATTGTATTCAGTATGGCAATCCATATTTACAATTTCCGATGCACTTAACTATTAGTGCCATAAAAATAATATTTGTTTTGCAATTTGAAAGCATTGAACCCCATGACGTTTCTATAATTGCTTGGCGGATCTGATTCAGTCAAGATATCCTTTATTAATGGTGATAGTTGGCAGTAGTAAACAACTTTCTGGCATTAAAATTTAATTATTACATTTGGAGAGGTTCATTCATTTGAGATTTTGATGTTTGAGATTGAAATTTTGTCTTTCTGGCCTTGACATTGCATTCACCCACTCTAATTTACCCTTATCAGGCTTTGCGTTGTTCAGAAAAAAAAAAAAATCTGGAAAATTAATAAAACTAAATTTTCAACACTTCTTTAAATTTCCTAAAGCGGTTCACAACCTGAAAGATCTGTTAATTGCTAATTTTCAGTGCCAGAGGGGTGATTGAGAGTAAGAAATAAATAAATATTGCGCCTGTGTTTAACAGCCCTCCGTATCTGTAGTGGGATTCACTCTATCTACTGTACTAATATAACACTTTTTCGTGCAAATCACATAGTACCAGTGGAAAGGAGACAGCAAAATACATCCAGTTCTGAAAAGGATCACTGGACCCATTTTTGTTTCAGATCTGCAGTTCTTTTTATTTTACTAAAATAAAACATGTTAGCTTCACAAAAAATTAAAAAGGGAACAATGCCACTCACAGCAATTTTTCAGTATTGGTGTTGAACCATGCGTTTGCCTATGCCTGAAGTTGTTGTGCACTTTTACATATGTAAATGAGAGTTCCATTAGTCTCACTGTTACTGTTGTTGTCATGAGAGCAAAATTTGATCCTACCATGTAGAACAGTTACAAGACAAACCTAGAACAGCGGACCTTCTAATTCTACTCTTCGCAGCTACCCTCCTTTTATTTAGGAACTGTCAGCCTGTGAACAATTTTGCACTGCAGAACAGCACAATTGAGATTTTCTCCATCCTTATTGAAGGCAGTCGTCATGCTGTGCCCTATTAATTTGTACGAGAGTCTGTTATATGAGACAATATTGTCAATAGACTATTTTTTTGTGGAAGAATTACAGCTGAACCCTACAGTTGCATGAGTTCACACATACCTTCTGGGTTTGGAAACGGGATAACAATTGGGAACTGAAATCCTGGCTGATTTTTTTTTTTTTTTTCCTTCCCACTCTTTCCCTTAACACAGCGGGACTGATGTCTTTTACAATACCCATTCCTCACAATAACTCATTGATTACCTCTGCACAGACCAGCAATGCAACTTAGCCTGGGGCTTTGTTGCTCAGTGTACATAGAATTAAAAGCTTTTAAAAGGTTCCTGGCATGAACTCTAGCATATTGCTATTATGTTAGGCTGTAATTATGATGTCCTGGTTTTCTGGCATAATTTCAGTGTGTTTATTCCAATACCGAATATATAGGGTGATAATGGCAGGGTCGCTGTTAGAAATATTAATTTATTTTGTACACAGACTACCCTTAATATTTTATATTTAGGAGACTGTAGCCAGTTTTCATATCCAACTTTAAAACCAAGCTAGGAAAATGAGCAGGCGAGCAATAAAACAACTTAAGCTAAGTGACGATCATATTTATGAATGAACTGTGCGCTGCAAATATTGGCTGCTAAAATTAATGTTTGAAGTAACATATCATCTCTACGGTTCATGAACATGGATCTTTTAACAATCTGACCTGTGAGTAAAAATCAAAATAATTCTGACATCGGAACACACAGACCATGTAGCATCTATGGAAGGAGAAGTACTAGGCTTAAATTTCAGATCAGTGCATTTTCATCTGAACTCTGCCTTTGGGCTGTTGACTTGTAACATTTAATTCAATGTTTTCCTCACTACCTACTTTGCATTTCTGGTATTGTCTGTCTTATTTGGAAAATGTTGATGGTAAGTTTTGGTTTTTATTGATTTTTGAGTATGTTCTCTGCACAGTATGCCAACATTGTACGTCATTAGTGATCATTATTCATATTATTGTAGTCATTTATAAAGGATTTTCTATATGTTTCCTTTGCATTACAATTGTATGTACAGCTGCAGACATGGTTCTTTTGGAAATTTTGGGGAGTAAGGTGAAAATCAGTTTCTCTTTTTGCCATCCAAAAGGAGAAAAAAACAGGTAATTTTGTTGGAAAAGTTGGTATAAATTGATTTTTTTTTTAACAACTTCTTGTTTGTTGTCTGCAGCTTTAAGCTTCATGTGTTTGAAATGCAAACGAGTCTGGTTTGTTAAATATTGAAAGTGCTACATGAGAGTGGAGATTGGGCTGGCCGCAAGTAGCTGATTGGTCTGTGGAATGGTGTTTAGTTATCAATGACAAAGGCCTCCTAACTGCCACCAACTGTGATTGGCTCCCAGATAACTGAACAACTTGGGGATGTGAATGTTTAGGTCAGAAGCTGGAAGAGCCAGATCTGTTTTTGTTCTGCAGTGCTAAGCATCACAACCCTGAAGACAGCGAATTTATTTTCTCTCTCCCAGTTGGTGTATCGTGTGACTGACTAATAAGTCAGCCTTTTGAGTATGAACAGTCACCTTGTGCTTTCAGCAATTTAACCAGGGTAAAGTTACCTGCAGAAGGAAGATAGAGAAGCAGCGTTGTGATCAACTAAAGGATTGTCTCAGCAAATACTGTGGACAGGGACCATTGAACTGTTTTCCAGGCTTTCCCTCTGCCCATAGCAGCTGTGCGTGTGTTGAGTGGAGTTTAATAAGTGGGTTTAGAGTGTTTGTATTGTTAAGGTTCTTTTTGACTGTTTCTCTTTAGAATCAATTTTATTTGTAATTTTAATAGTAGTTCTAGTTAAGTAGAAAGACCTGGTCCCTACTTTCAAACTGGGTCTAAAAGACAAGTTCACTGGGAGATTCTGCATATGTTTTAAAAGTCGTAGCTTCTGTGATGATTCTGGGAATAGCAGGGCTTGATTTTCCAGCATGCTATCCCAGTGAGGTGTAACAATACAAACTAACTACTTCTCTGTTTAAAATCAATGTGACCCATGTTTGGATGGTAGCATGCAGAACTCTGCACTGGCATGAGTGTATTCGGACTTCTGCACGTGTGCGAGTAAAAAGTCATAGACCTCTAAACATGTGTAAGTGTGCATTCATGAAGTGCTACAGATCTGGCTGCTTTGTAGAGCCTTAAGCATGGTTCAGGATTATTGTCTGTACTACAACTGACAATTTGTGTTTCTGTTTAAATTTCCTTATCAGTTCAACGTGAAGCAGTTCTTAATGAGTCAAATCTTAATCGTCAGGAGATCCTGTGACAGTAGAAAGGAAATCGAAGGGACAGGCCCTAGAATCCTGTAGTTTTGATGTATTTGAAAGGATATGTATTTTCATCCATTTCTCCAGAAAGACCTGAGCCTAAGTAGAATTGTACTTCAGAAATTTATAATTCTGTTATTGTGAGAGCATTCGCAAGATGTTATTTGTGTTTTAAAACTACCTGTGTAGAAATTTTATACTGTCATTAATGAGTGCTGAAAAGAATCTATCTGAAGGTTGTAATCTTGCCTACCTTAGTAACTTGCATAGAAGCTGTATTCTTCATTCAAAAATAAGTTATTGAGATGTAGCCCATTTGGATGTTGTAACTGTTTCCATCTTTCCATGTGCTAAACTGATACCTGGACCTTTAGAAACTAAACTTTGCTTTTGTGATTTGCTTTCTTCCCTCTCTAGGTCTTTGATGTGAGACTAAATGGACAGCATGTAGTGGTGAAAGATCTTGACATATTTGAAAAAGTGGGACACAGCACAGCACATGATGAACTGGTGTCTTTCACAATTAGAAAAGGAAAACTCAGCGTTCAAGGAGAAGTGTCTACATTTAATGGGAAACTACTTGTAGAATTTGTCAAGGTAAGGAACTATTAATTTTGACGGAATATACAAATATCCACATGAAGAGCAGAAGTCAGTCATTCGGCCCCTTGAGCCTGCTCCTTTTTAGTACAATCATTGCTGATCTAATTTGTGGCCTCAACTCCACGTTTCAGCCTCTCTCGGAGTCTGACTCATCTGCTGAGAACCAATCGTGAACAGAGCAGCTTGCAAACCTGTGGAATACATTTGATCATATTTGTTTCACAAATTAAGTCTCCTCCTACCTTTTACAGGGAACTTTGCAGACTGTAAAATTCTTTCATTTTTAAGGCCAAAGATAAAACCGGTTAAGCTTGTAAATAATTGACTAGCAACATTTTGTGGTTTTGTGATAATATTGAACTCATTACTCCTATAGACTTTGGTGCAAGTAAATTACAATGTAGCAAGATAAATGTGTTGAATACATAGTATATTTTTGTAATGTCAGATAACATACTTATTGTTTATAATAGTGCTGATTGCTGTGATCAATACTAAGATTCATAGCTTTCTTCCCAGAGCTACAAACCGAATATCCTCACTCATTTTCTTGCTAGAAATACTGTGGCACACAGGTGGTCCAAAGCCGGTGTAAAGATAAAGAAGATCACATGTTGAAAGCCCAATCAAATGCTATTTTTAAATACTGTTCTGTAGGAAGAATTGATGTTGTAATTTATTGTACTTTGAACTACGTGTTCTATCAATTTTTTTCAGTTTTGGTTGTTGTGTATTTTATGGTAATCAGTCAAGGTGACATTGCTTATATTGTCACATTTCTCAATGCCTTTTCTCAAACGATACACTTCTAAAATTTTTAAAAATACTATTATGAGCCGGCAAACAGGTTGATATTATAATCTCTCCTTTTCTGCAACACCTTGTACTGTATAAGTAAGTGGTTAACTGACAAACAAGCTTGTTTTTGAGTTGCTGCTTTCCAAGTAGGTCTATTGGGTTTGATGCAACCTATACATTTCATGGTTTGGAGTTTCTCTTGGATTGTGGAATGCCTTTTTTTTAAACCATGTGCTCCTTACCCTAAAAGGATTCTTTTCTATTAAAAAATAGCTCTTGAGTTGGTGTTTCTAGCCTCTTAACTTTGGTTGTTTTGCACGAATGATGGAACATGGTTAGCCCATGTGCATGAGAGTATGCCCTTGAGTCCACATTCTGCTACCACCCTTAATTTTGGCCAGATTTGTCCATTATCACTTGGTTTGATGGGGGTTACCTCTAGACTGAGTACGTTTTGGTCACATTGGCTAAACTCACTTTTTCTATTATTCATGTTTGGAAAATGTTAATGGGGCTATTTTTAGTTTGAGAGAAATATCAAGTCAAATCCCTCACTGATCTGTGTCCAAATATAAGGTTGTTCTGCAGGTATTACTGCAGAAACAGGACCTGGGTGATTTCCTCTCTGTAGCCCAGAGACCTAAGCCCATTGCAGCATCTGTCTTGCTATCCTGGAGGTTATCATCAACATTAACACAAAATATGAATAGCAATGATGGGACTTCTTTGATATGACTTGGATAAAACAATGGCCTAAAATAAATCGCAGTGACATTTGTAACTATGCTGAGATGGTTAACTTATTAGTTTAAGATTAACAGCACTGAAATTAACAGTGCTTTGAGTATTCCTCTGGCTGTGCTGCTGCACAAATTAGAGTTTCTGCCTCTGCTGCCTTACAGGCTGAGTTCCAGATCACCACCACTTTGAGAGAGAAAATTCTCATCCCCTGTTCAATCCTTCCTTCCTTCCAGTCGTTTTAAACGTATGCCCCTAGTCACTGACCTCTCTGCTAAGATAAATAGGCCCTCCTTAATCACTCTATCCAGGCCATCACTATTCTGCACATATCAATCACATCTTTCCTTTTGCTCCAAGGAGAACAATCCCAATCTGTCCGATTCTTCCAGCCCTAAAAGCATCCTTGTTCCAATAGCTGACTAGTTCACTCACACACTAATGCTGTATATTAGTTGTGCTTTAATTGTAGACACTATAGTTTGGAATTAAGTAAGAAAACTGGGAATTATGCATAATCTGCACATTTAGCCCACAAGAGTTTGAGAAAAACCCTGAAATGCTAACTGAACAATTTTGTATTTTGGTTCTGCCTTTTAGGGTTACTATGACAACCCAAAAGTCTGTGCTATATGCATCATAAAGGGAACAGTGGAGGGTAAGTTAAATATTCAAAATAGTCTCTCAGTTGTGTCAGACATTTGGTTGCAGTTGATCATTTTAACAATTCATCCAATATGTTCATACATTTTAATGACTTGGTGAGAAAGCAATTTGATACCTTGGAGAGCTGCATTGACTTTAGTGTAGTACTGCAATTTAATATGGATATTTAATACGTGAATTGATCACTTATTTTATTGCTCAGCTTGTTACCTAGATAGTACTGTAGGTCCAAAAATCAAATCTGTTGCATTGGATAGCATGAAATGAAAGTGAAGTACAAAATAAAGTGAGGGATATGTTGTTTTTCTTTAATAAAGCAAAACTAATTCAGATTGGCTGTTAATTTAGGGGTGTTTTCTCTCCAGTTAAATTTCAGTTGGATTAACAAACCTATTGATAAAAGACTAAAGCATGACAACTTATGTTTTTTCAGATCCGCAATAAATCTTGATGTCACCTCTTGCAGCTTTAAAAAAGTATATAAAAAGTCAACAGGGGAAAGAATATTTAAGGGGGGGAAAAAAAGAGGTTTGTAATTGTTTTAACTGGTGGTGAGGACTACAGTGTAAGTGTAGGCAAATTCTTGTATATAAAAAAATATATGGCATGTCCTTCTAAGGAAGTAACATTTTTCCTCCAACCTTCCCAGGTACAGAATAAATGATGTAAGAGTTAAAGTTCTTTCTTTTGTCCCAGCATTTTACTTTAATGCCTAACTGTATTTCTGTATGTCTGCTTTCCTGAGCCCCAAAGGAGTCTGGTAGGGGTGGAATTAGGAATTGGCCTGTACATTCTACACTCTAAGGCAATTGTCTATTCTTTTATTTTTATTTTTCTGGTGGATTGTCTTCCCTCCTATTCCTCATTGTAATGCAGTTCTTTAGTGCTAACACCCCATTACTATCTTGTCCAAAAGGGCACAGTTCAAATAGTCAGTACACATCAGCATCCATTATGGGCTGGCCTGGTGAGATTTCAGTCAAGTTCGATCTGTGTCCAATGTATGTAGATATTGAGCTCTTTGAAATGAAGGGTAACTTATGAGTTATGACAATGAAACAGAAATTAACCGTGCATGTTTATATTTCTGGGATTTGAAGGTAGTTGTGTGGGCTTTATATGTCACACCATCTAATCATAATCTAAAAGCTGTCTAGTACATTAACGCCCTTGACCCTGGCTTAAGGTAATGCCAAATTGGGTCATATACTCGGTCCACGGCAGTACAAAAACCAACAAGCAACAAGCTTAGCCAGGTCCAACAGGAGCAGTTGAGGGAACAGATGTGCTGATTTTGTCTGGACCTAAGACCAGTGGTTTGGCCAGTTTGAGCGCTGACAGCATGTTATTGCAGCTTTGCTTTGGGAAAATGTCCTAGGGGAGCTGTATCGTGGACACTTGATCACCAAACGCAGAACCAAAGTGTGGTTACTGATGTGACTGTCCAGGATCTCCCATGAGCATTTAGTCTTATTGTCGACTACAAGGCCTGTGCTATTTCTAGACCAGAGCAACAAGAGTCACTGATACCTTTCACATTGCCTACACGTTCCTATGGGCAATGTGTTTGTTTTTGATGGAATATCTTGCATCATTGTCGTCGATTTGTTTGTCCTGATGCCTTGAGGTTGAGAGGTTTCATACCATGCCTGCAATGTGGTTACCAGAGTACTGTGAGAAATTTGCAATATGTGGTACCTCTGTGATCATTTCGGACAACAGCGGGTAGTCATAAATGGGTTTTTTTTTACCTATTTTGAGCCAGCTCTGAATTTTGAATGTCTCAGGTTAGCTGAGGTATCAATAATGGAATTGAAAAGTGAGCATGGGGTCAAGATGGTTAAGTCACCTTTTGAAGAATATTGGCTTATTTTCAGCAGTGCCAAGCTATTGATCGGCCCCACTCCTCCAGTGTGGTCGAACACCATCCTCCTCTGAAGGAATTGACCGTCCTGCAGCCACTCAACATACACACAAGTAGACAAACGTATTTTTTTATTGGATGAGCAGCAATAGTAGTTTATTTCCCTTCCTTTTCACCTCCTAACAAAGGTATTAACTCTAATCATTTCAGTGTTTCTTTCCAATTCATGAAAATTTTAAATAAAGGCATTGATCTGAATAAACTGAATACCATGATACTGTCTCTGCAATGGGTTTCTGATGACATCCAACTGATTAGCATTATTAAAACCCAATCATCCAAGATTTGAATATTACCCCATATTTGAAGTAACTTGCAGCCCTGGAGAGGATGAAAGACAAGCCAGTTGCAGTGCCTGTTAATTTAATGCAGACCAGAAATAGAAGCTTAGTTATACGCTAGGAATGTGTTTAAACAGCTAAGCTATGAATTAGCTTGCAAGTCATTCTCTAATTGTCCCTACAGTAATCTTTGTAACGTTGAGTTTGTGGCACAATTTTCATTTGGATAAAGTGTGGAAAATTGTGGTGCAGGAAAACAAGTGCAGATTGTTAAATTTTGAAACTGCTAAGTTCAAACTTTTATTTATAGGCAGACTCTGAAGAAATTAAGGCAGACCCTGTTTTTTTAAAACAAGCTATTGCTTTAAATGGGTGATTATAATTTCTTGTTGCAGTAAGTTGTCTGGTAATCATTACCCTGACTACAGCAAAATGTCATTGGACTTCAGGCAATGCTGACCACATTAAGGTCTTTACTTAATAGTTTTGTTAACAGATGTCTGTAAAACCCGAGCTTTTTTACTTTTGGTAAAACCAGTCATTTCTTTTTCACACTCCTCTTTGCACTGAATTTTTTACTTTTTGTTTTCTGATATCAAAATAGCAACTTTTTTTAAATACTTTTCTTGATGAATCATTGAAGTATACTGCAAATTATGTTTTAGTTTAATTTACATTTTAAAAGGGCAAGAAAAGTGATGAGGCTTCCTGCATTCATGTGGTTAGAGGAAGGGTTTCTCTCATTAAATACTCCAAGTTACATACTGTTGTTGGCAGATTTATATCTACATCTTCAGCAGAGTTCTAGGATAAGTATCTTGTGTAGGAAAACAACAAATCTGTCATTTCCCTGTGTGAAATGCCTCCTGTTTGTTGATCATTAAGCAGCTCCTCTCAATGGAGCTCCATTGTGCTTGAGCAAAACATGAACTATCCAATGCATCAGTCCTCTCAGTGAGGACTTAAAGCAATTACTTCCTTTTTGTAGGCATGTACCAATGGCAAGTTATAAGCCATTGAATAAAATCAGTTAAGTTCGTCAGGAATGCACAGACATAAAGTTGTGCTAGCATAGAAAACAGTAACAGCTTTAAGCTTTCCAGTTATACTGTGGAGAATTTAGCTTATGCTTCTGTTTATTTAATTATTTCATTCTGCAGGTTAGGCTTGTTGGTAAATGGTGAAGTTTATGGTAGAAAAGGAATAGTCACAGCATGGATACAAAATTGATGAGATGGAAAGCCTTTGCTGTCAACACTTAAATCTCGTTAATTCTAGGATATCTTTATTTCATGACAAATAGTAACAAGTCGGTAAACATGAATGCTTGTAAATAGATTTTATTTTTCTTCAGTGTATGATAATTGAAAAATTATGCTGCTCATAACTTTCAATTAAAATTTGTCCTGTAGACAATAATACTTTTCTGGATAGCTTCACAACATCTCTAATATTGCCAAAAACTCTGGATTGTCAGTGTCTCATTCAGGATATAGTTTAAAAAAAAACTACTGTTGCATTTATGTGGTCAATAGTAACTTAGAACTGCTGCAAAGTTGCAAATTAGTGATATAGTAATACTTGTTTTGACATGAAAATGTACCTCTGAAAATCTATGGACTTAAAGCTATTATTTCACATTTATCCATAGTCTGTTCAACATGTAAGGGTCCATCCATAATCGTGATGCAAAGATTTTTTTATACAGGCAAACACTTTTGTTAGCTCCAAACATAGTGTGTACCTGTTGCTTAATTGTATGGCAAAGGGATGGAGTATAAAATTAAGGAAGTTTTGGTGCACCTGTGTTAGTAAGGCCACAGTTTTGCTTACATTATATAAGGAGGGACATGCTTGCATTGGGAATCAGTTCAGAGATGATTCACTAAGCTGATTTTCCTCAGGTGTGGTATTTGACTTGAACAATTCAGTAGATTGGGCCTGTTGTCACTTTGGAGTTTAGAAGATTGAAAGGCAATCTTAGTGAAACATTTAGGAGTCTAAAGGGGCTTTACAGGGTAGATGTTGAGAGGATGTTTTCCCTTGTTGGAGGAGGTTTACATGTCAAAATATGACTCAGTTGAGTTTCTTCTGAAAATGTGTTTGGAATTGTCTCGACCAGCAGTGGAGGCTGGATTGATGAGTATATTCAAGGCAAAGTTGCACAGATTTTGGGGTGGCATCGGGTTTGCAGCCAAGAGTGGAGTAAATCTGATCAGCCAAGAGTAAAATCTTAACACAGAATACTGTTTGGCCCCTTTCAAACTGAAACAAAGCTGCAGAAGGTCACTGCATCAATTTCAGTTCTTTTCCATTCATTTTATGGGCTGTGATATTCCGAGGCATAGGTTTGCTTGCCATTTAAAGGATGTGAAGTATTTTTCAAGCTGTACACTACTTTTTTCATTTTGGCTAGGTTAGGTATTTATATTTCCCTTTGCTATTGTGACGTTGAACTGGCAACAATGGAGAGCTGCATTCAAATGCTGTTAGTGACAGAAGAAAAAATGGTCGGGCTGAACTTGACGGCCAGTTAATGCCTTTGTTAATAATAAAGAGCCCATGAAATGGATTTTTGTCATCCATAAAACATTAAGATGGAAAAGTATGAGAGAAATGTGCAAGTTCAATTTGAGTTGTCTCCCTTCTCTTCAAAATTTAGTATTTTAATTGTAGTTTAGAATGTTGACAATTAGTTAAATCTGCCTTTCCATTATTACTTTTTACTTCATTGCAGATGTTCCCAAACTCCTGCCTCATCCTGGTCTAGAAAAAAAGGAAGAGGAGGAAGAAGATGATGATTATGAGGAGGGTAATGAGAAGAAGACATTAAGCAAAAAGAAGGTGAAGTCGGGACCTCGAACACCAGACCCATATGCCTCAGATAACAGCAGCCTAATGTTTCCCATTTTAGTTGCCTTTGGGGTCTTCATTCCCACCTTGTTTTGTCTCTGTCGGTTATGAGATACACTTCGCATGTACAGTGGTGCTTGTGGGTGAGGAGCTTTGAGACAGTGTGGGGCAGTCTGTTTAAAGCAGTTTATTTCTCTTCCCTCTTTTCAGAAACGAGGTGGAGAAAGGAAGAGAAATGGTTTGTATGAAAATTTGAAGGCTTGAATCGCAATAAGTATTTTTTTTTTTTTTTTTTTTTTTTTTTTTTTTTGGTTAATAGATTCCCAATTTTTAAAAATAAACTCTCCTGCAATAATTCTGAAGTGCAAAATTGAAAGCCCCAAATAACTGAGTGCTTAAACTGGAGGCTGAAACAATGTTGTCCATGTTTCCTTTTGGCTCTGGGTAAAGTATAATGTAAAGAACTTTCTGATTAGGTTGGGGAATAAATGTACCAATTATCTGAAAGTAAAGTCTATATGCCAGTATATGAATTATTTACCATTCAAAGTTCAAGGAAATTCAAAATCCACTGGTAAAACTTGAATGGAGAATTTTAAATGAGAAAGGTACTATAAACAAATATGGTGATTGACCAATATGTATTTTTGTTTTGAATCATTCCCCTCCCTCCTTTGCTATACCGTGTCTACCTGCACTTGGGCATTGGCATGAATTTTTTTTTTTCTTTAAATAGTGAACTATGAGTGTATTGAAATGAACAGATTTGAGCTAGTATTTCAGCTGGTTAGAAATGGTGCTTAGACAATGGGTACAAGGTTTTCAAAGATTGAGCGGCCGCGTTAATTTCATTTGTGTTTGAGTTTTATCTGGTGGTTTGGTGGTTTGGTTGTTTGCTGAAAGATACCTCCAGAATGATTTTTGTTAGCCTAAATTATGAGATCAGAATAGCAAATTCTCAATGTCAAAAATCAAACTAATGTATAGCAATTCTGTTAGCAGCTGAAAAATGACAATGTTTTACACTTTTTAGGCACTGGGCCTGCTGTATATTCCTGCTGCCTTCTGTTTTTATTCCAGATTTTCAGAATTTACAGTTTAAGAATATTTCCTCACTTGTTTTCAATGTCAAGTTCTCCACTAAAAGGGATTTGAAATGGATTGCATAATAAAAACAGTAAAATTTTAAATTACAGAACAGCATTTTTTCAAGAAGAAAATACTGCTGAAACTGGAAATCTGAATTACTAACAGATAAAACTAGAATTACGCAGGTCAGGTAGTATCTCCGTCTATGTCTCCCTCTCTCTTTTGTCTCGGGAGTAAGAAAACCAGTTTGTTTTCTGCTGACTGACTTACTACATATTTAGCAAGGCTCATGAGTGATTGTGTACCGGTTATGATTACACAACTGTTCTCTGGCAGTGGTGCCTAAACTTTGTGGGAAAGGCATGGGGTGTCTCTGGTGTGCCAATGTGAAATATTTTGATTAGATACATGACAAGTAAGTACGGCAAGATTGATTGTAATCTGAATCTGTATCTGATCTTTGGCCAGGTCCATTATTAGTAATTACGAAGGAGCACTGAGGTTTTCTGTCGGACACTTGGCTGAGAGTTCAGAGCCATGGAGTGTGCTTATCCTGTGATTTGTGCTGTGCCATCGTGGGGGGACGGAAGCGATTTGTGCTTAGTCCAATTGCAGTGTATCCCTATAAGGAACACTGAGGGAAGAGCCAAGCTGGGTGGGTGTTGCTGGCTGGTTATGGTTGACAGTGCTTTGGGCAAAGGGATTTTGCCTGCCTTTATTGGTAGCAGTGTTACCAAGGATACGCTGACCCGAAAATGGAAGATCATCTTAAAAAAACTTTTCTTTAATTGTACCTCCCCAAGGGGATGTTGATGTTCCTAAACCCCCATCATTGATGCCTCCTTCTGTTTGATTAGAATGGTGATCTTTTTCATTGCTCTTATGATGAGCCAGGGTACTCTACTTTGCTTGATGAGCAAAGCCAATGATAGCAATCACTTCAGATTTCCAACAAATTAATGATGCCAATTCTTGTGTAAATGTTGTCTGGGCTGGAATTTGGAGCCTGTAGCCAAGCTGAACAATTTAAAGGGTAGTATATTTAGGATTTGCTGAAAGGTGGTACAGTTTGTATTTTAGCTCTTGCAGAAAGTTTGTTATGCTCAAAAGTAAAATAACCAAGAAGGGATATTGCAGGTATTTGACATTCGGTTTTAAAGCTAGGCTTTGTGGTTCCGACAAAATTGAAATGTAGGACTGTCCCAAAAAACTAAATTGTGCAGCATTTCAACTTTGTTTTATATAAACGCTCCTGTTTTAAACAGCAATTCTGCATATTAATTTCAAGATCCTTTTGAATTTTTATTTGGAAAAACTTTTGAAATGTGGGAATAAATGATTTTCTTTCAGCAAATACATTCAGTAATCCATGTGTGGTATTGGATGAAAGGAGAAACCCTGACATTACCAATTTTAATGATTTATATTATGGAAAAAATGTATTATTTTTTCTCCCTAACTTATTTCAAGTATCATGCATAACTTGAATCTGTGTGGAGGCTTTAACTATCTCTTTTCCATAACGGGAGAAGGGTGGTGTGAAAAAGAAAAATAAGTTCTTGAAGTTTTAGAGATGCTTGTCCCAAAGAGAGAAATGTTGTTTAACTTTGGGAGTTCAACAGATTAAATTTGTTCTTTTCTCTGCTAACCTAAATCCTAAAAGGTGTCAGGATCTGTGCTTCTGGTGTAATCTTGATTTGTTTGTTTTTCTTGTGTGTGTATTAAAATAAGTTTCTTTTGTAGCTTGGCTTTTATTTGGAGCTCTCAGGAACTTGGGTTGAGGGTATGTTTGTATTAATTTGCACTCTGGTTTTAATCAGCAGTTTATGATGAGAAGGGGGGGGAATGAAAAGAGATATTTTTATGTCATGTGTATCCAGATGCGTGAAAGACTTCATTATAGGCCCTGGATAACTGTACATGTAACGTACTTAACCTGTCAAAGCAGGGTTTTCTGCCTTTGTTCAGAAATATTTGTGTGCTGTGCACCAACTACAGTGTGCTTTAAATTTATTTCTGGAACTTTCTTTTTAGTTTTCTTTTGATGAATTGTTTGTGCCAATGCAGCGGTGACCATATTGCCAATTTCATCAGATGAACTTAGCTATTACTGTAACCTACAATGGTGGGACTGACTATCGCAGGGAACAAAGCTTACCAGTAGGATTGGGGGAGCTGGCACCTCACTCACCCCCTCACCAGGGTAATGTGGCTTCAGTTAGCCAAGTTGTTAAATGTTTAATTTGAATAGATTAGTTATGAACCTATTTTATTCATCTTGATGTGGCTAATAATCTAACTTAAAGATTAATGATGAAAAATGTTCAGGTTTTGTTCAGAAGTGCATCTTTAGAATAATTATCTATTTCTTAAAGGTAACACCTAGTTTCACAAAAGGAAGCTCGGAAGATGTTACTTTTTCATAAATATTTCACTTAGGGGAAAATCTGATCATTTCTTTTCCCCAAACGTGAGACCACCTTTATACTTGTGACCAGCTCTAACTGGGAAGGTGCAGGTGGTCATCTGAGCGGGAAGTCTCCCAGACCTACCGGTAAGCCTCATTTGTGTTTCAAATGAAAATCACCGAACTCTGAGATCCATGAACTTGTGTATAATGTGGTGTCTGCAAATGATTTATGCAGTTATTGCATAGAAAACACATTGTATTGAGCCCACCTGCTTAGAGCAACTGTTACTGAATGTCTGGAAATCTCCACATTCACCAAATAGCAACAAATTCTGCTCTGTTGCCATTACCTTTTCTGCAGTTTGGAAATAAAATTTAATTGAAAGCTATTTCAGTACCCACTTCCCTTCATATGTGCCTTTTAAATAGAAAATTAAATATGTATTTTGGTGATCTATAATGTTTGTTTAACTTTTATGTTCAGCATTGGTACTGATCTGTGGGTATCTCTTCTGGGTAAGTTGGACAAAAGAATGATTCAGACTTTTTTTCTTCTCGTGATTTTTGGATTGAATAAATCAATGTGAAATCAGCTGCAAGGCAAATTGAACTTCTGTTAAGTTACATGTAACCAGAAATCTTTGGAATTAATAAGGTAAACAAACTTGAAAGGAGCAAATGAAACAATGGAATTGATGAATGTATACAGCAATCCACAAAAGTGCAATGTTTAGCATCTCCTCTTGCATTGAATTGCTAGAGATGTATGCCCGGTTACAGGTGCTGAACACTGGGTCTATGTCAGTGCTATCTGCTTACAGAACTTCTAAGGGTTGAGCTTTAACTACAGTAGCATGTGAACATTTGAGATTTTAGCGCTGAGTAATCAGATAGGAGTTGAGCTACTTTTCAGCACCTTGAACCTGTTCTGCCATTCAATTTCGATTTAGCAGATTTGCACCTTGCTGTAAATAACTAGCCTTACCCTTTTAGCTTTCACCATTTCCTTAATGTTTGTTTCTTAATGCTTGTCATTATATGAAAAGCAAGTGCTAGCCAATCTTGCTCGTAATTAAGTCTGCAAAGCGAAGGCTTTGCACTTTATCTCATCTGATGAGCAGTTTTCTCTGCCAGGGGTGCTGGATGATTTGTGCAGATGGATAGCTCAAGATATTGACAGTTCCCTGCCAAGCTTTTGATGAGAAACTTAACATTGACATTTAATGTGCGCTTTGACCCTGGGAATGAAA